CACCAAAACAACACTCACCTCCTCACCCCGCGCCAGGCCTCGCCCATCCCAGGCCTCCCTGCCCCTTCGCGTTCCTGGACCTGCTACCGCGGCGGCGACTCCTCGCACGGCGTGCTGCAAGCCATGCACGTCGTCTTCAACACCCTCTTCGGCGCGCCGCGCCTCAGCGCCGGGCCCAACCAGTGCCACGTCGCCGTGTGCGGCGCGTTCCACCTGTCGTGGTGCAATTTGGGCGTGGAGACCGGGGATGAGGACGCCGGCGCGCGGGATATGGCCGTCGCGCAGGACCCCGGGAAGGGCACGATGTGCATGGCGGCCGTGGAGGGGCCCGGGTTCGACCCGTACAAGTTTTACTACTGGGGGCGGGTCGATGCGGTTTGGACGCCATGGTACGGGGGTGGGAGTACGGTCAAGACGTGTTAGATCGTCTTGCTGGGAAAATGAAGATTGGCTTCGAGTTGTAGATATTGCATGGCTGTGTACAGCTGTTATGGGGATGACCCTTTCAATATGGGGCTGATGAGAAACACAAGTGTTTCTTCAGGGAACCACCACTCCTGGGACCTATCAAACCTAATTAATTTACAGATATGTCTGTACATACACTCAATCCTCGGGGCATGATTTTAAGTCAGACTGCTTGTTGTTACCATGCTTCGTCCTTGTTCTCGTTCCCGTTTCCGTTGTCGTCATCCCTCTCGCCAACTGCCAAACGGTGTTCGGCCCCGGCTCGGCTCGGTTCCGGTGGCAACCTCGGAAAACCCGGATGCTTGCCCCTGCAAGGTTGGACGCATACCCCCACGCCCCCACGCACGCAGCCCATCATAAACTCAAATTTCATTAGTTATTCCCATCATCCGGCATGGTGTAGTGGTTAACATACTCCGCTTTCACCGGAGAGCTCCGAGTTCGATTCTCGGTGTCGGAAAAGCCGTTTCTTTTTGCGATTTTTACAATATCCTACTACGAGCCGTGGGTCAACTGGGTCACTCGTTAGTGGACAATGATTCTTTTGCCTATTCAAGCGCCGAAAGGGCTAGATTGTTGTTATTAAAGAAGCTTGTGAACGCGGTTGTTTGTCACGCATGTGTGAACGTACACAGTTGAGATGAACGTGTACGGGCACGCCCAGATGTCAGAAGCCGACAAGACACCTTTGCGATTGAACCAAAAAGACGTATTCAACAAGTCGTTATTGCATACCCTTTGTGATCGAATATTCAAATTCCCTGGCGTTTTTATCTGTATCCGTGGTTCAGCTGAACCAAACAAAGCTTTTGAGGATGATATGTGACGACCTACATCAACACACCAACCGACGACTTCCCACGCACCCTCGTGCCATCGACAGCAGGGCTAGCTTCTCCCGCCGACGACAGGGTGCCGAGTATTTTTGGAAGGAAATAACCTCGAGATGGTCTGTTACTAACCTTACACGCAACCGCAGCATTGAAAAGGGGTATTGAGGATGATTCAATTCATAGATATCATGTGGATTCTAATAGCATATATGGCCTGAAAGTATTTTCTCCTCTCGGCAAATTTATCGTCGAAGTCTGCCACATGTGAAGACAAGACATGCAGTGTTATACGGGGACGTCCTGTCTTACAGGTGTGTCGCCATCCTGCCAGCTGCGGGGTTGTCGGCCTCCTGCATTTACAACGCCAAGTCAAAGTCTGTCGAGACCTGCGCTGTTGTTGTACTCTCGCGCGGCCGTCTTTTGTATAAAAAGGAGGCCACATGAAATTTCTGCGCAGGACCATTTTATCTCTGCACTTGCACTTTAATGTACCCTCGTCAATTACATTTGAATCAATGGCAAGAAAAAAGCCCACGGTCCACAAGGAAAGAGAGGCCTCTTTCATGTTTCCGCGGCTCCACCAAGCGGTTGCCACCGCCGTGGCCGACGATATCGGCTCGACGTGGTTCAATCAGGACAGCGACCAGCATCCAGTCAAGGAATGGCAAACACGTATCATGGGCAGGTTCATGTGCGAGAACGAAGCCTGCGACAACAGTATTTGGGGCAGTAGGACGGTAGCAACTTTAATCAGGGGATACTCGGGCAATGGTTACAACGCCACGGTTTTCAATCAGCACTGCATCGACTGCCAAACCCTCGGCGCTTTCATGGTCGACAAAGATTGTTACGTGGAGCGTATCGCATACCGGCTCAAGATGTGGGCGGGCGTTGAGATGGAGCGGCCGGACTACAACAAAACAGACGGCCCGCCACACGAGCAAGAGCTCTGCGAGGGTTGCAAGAGGGGCTACTGTCAGAAGAACAGGGTCAGGAACTGGCGGGATGAGGAACACTTTGGGAGTTGTGCTTGAAAGGCTGGATAGGAGGACATGGATAGAGTAGGATGTTACTAGTTCTCATCATCTTCCCGATTCCTGCAACGGCTGGAGATACTGCAACAGAGCCAGTCAAGCTCTCAACTCGACTTTTGAGTCTAGTTTCAGGCTGGAAAGCGTTCAGAAGGTCATGTTATGATGGAAAGGGATGGCGAGTGTCTTCTCCTGAACATTCCTGGCAGCATAGCGTACATGTGTCTTGACAGGAAGTTGAAGCGTAGGCTAAATCGAAGACCATGGTCTGTTATGAATATGACCGCTGAACTTGACTCAGATAGGAAGTTTCTTCTTTATCAAATATGAAACCAGATAGCCGTGGATCACAGACTTCTTGATTCAGTCAATTCTTCTAGCATGAATCCCAGCAACGATGCTTCATAGGCGCTCTGAGGGTCAGGGGAGCTATCAGGGGATTGACCCGGGTGCGTTGAGCCTAACCACCAAAGATGTCTACGGCTACAGACATAGATTTACCCTCCTTGTTCCTCCTATCTCGCTCAAAGATAATTCAGTTAGATATCCCTTTATAGCAATTCCGGCGACCACGCAAGAGTAGCTACAGGCCGACGGTTGTGCTGGCGTGTTAATACGAGATACCTCAAGCCAAAACCGAGGTCTTAGAAGTCACACTGCCAGCCGTTGGTGCTGCACCGCCAAGGCCACCTGAGATGCAGGTACTGATTTCTTTGCAACCGTCAGAGGGAGCTTGAATACTCTCTCCCTTGTAGTTCGTGATCGTGGATTTAGGAGAATTAGTCAGTATATGGACTCGTTCACGAACAGGCGTCATAGTTCTTCACTACGAAACTCACCACCTTGAATGTCGGTGCCGTATCTGCAGCCATGGCTATTAAACGGATGCAAAACGACTTTATAGCCAGACACCTCGCGTGAACTGTCATGAGTTCCTTGAAGTCTGCAATAGGTTTCGGGCGTATGGTTGGCCCAATCACCAACTGGTGGTCCGCCCCAGTACCAGACGTCGAAGGTGAGACCAGCAGTGCCGCCAGCTGTCTCCGACGCGAACACAGCGATGGCCGCAAGGCTACCCTGGGTGAGGAGGGAAGAGATGAGAATGGCGCTGGTCTTCATTCTGAGTATCGAAGCGTTGGGATGTGATCTGAAGATGGGGGTTGTGAGTGATTGCAGATGGAGGTTGTAATGTCTGAGGAGACTGACAGCCTTGAGTGAGGATACTGGCATGGTTGATATACTTGGTTCACTTCACAACTTGAAGTTTCTTTTAGCTCGATCAAAATTAAATGGGACTTTGGTGGTGGGACTTACGTGAGCTCACTCACGATCTTGTTCGCGGAGACACAGGCGTTAGCCTCGTGACGTAGAAGACATCCTTGAACGTTATTTTACGAGCTATCCCTTCATGGCAAGATCTTCGCTAGCTTATGACGATGGCTTGTTGGTTAAGTGGAAGCCAGATCTTGATAGAAAGCCCAACAGAATAGAATGCGTACTCTTGTTGGTGATTTGTGGGTTCAACCCTTGCATGTTGGTGCAAGAGGTGCTGCGCCAGGCAGAATCCGCCCAGCGTTTCCCGGATTTCAGCCTGGCCCCCAAGTTACGAAAGCTTCTAACAAGGTACTGAGCCCTGCGTATCATGCCACTGCCCTTGGAAGTCTTGCCAGATTAAACTTCCTAGAGTTGGAATACCACGCAAGCAGCCTGCAAGCTTAGTCGGGCTTGAGAATCTCCGCATGCCGTCTACGTTAGTGCGTTGATCAAGCCTAATTGATAAACTTACGGCGTTTCCAAATTACAATTGAACTGCCTGTTGACGTTCCCTGTATGAGTAAAAGCTGCGTCACGGGGCTGCGAGTGAAACTCGTGCCGATGAGTTGACCTGGCTCCGTGGCACACTGATAAACTCAGAGTCCTTGGAGATCACGCCCCCGTAATCGCCAAGCCGGATGGCGGCGACGCGGTTAGGGCCACGTTGCTGGCTAAGATTCGCGAAAACATTGTCCAGTCTGATATTGGCAAAAGTTTAACAATTGAGTAGTGCTGTTGCCTCACCGTCCACCATATAGATTTGGAAATCTGTTATGTAATTAACTTTTGCAAAATCAACTAAACACACATGTTAGAGGTGACGTGGTCGACTCTCCAATCTCCGAGATTCTGTGTCATGCGCTCAATAGAAAAGACCACCTTGATTGACTTGTTGGTAAAGCTTTCAAGCACGTCAGTACATTCCAGGTGCGCTTGACCTTACTACTTGCATAGAGACGAGGTGTCTTCAACGTCGGGTACGTTAATTAGTACAGATTCGCACAAAGGCTCCCTTGACTCGCCCGGATTGGCTGCTGGCCGTTCTAAGCGCCCGAATCCGCATTGGTGATGCCGCATGACCTAATGCGACCATAAATCAATACTCATGACGGGGAAAACAACTGCAGCTCATGCGAACCGCCAGCCCCCAACGCCAGCTGCTAATAATAGTATTGCGCAGCCACAACCCTTCAGCGGTCCGTTTTGGTTGTCGCTAAACCGTCAGGTGTTGAGATTGGGGGCTCTCTTGTTGGCTGTTCTGATTTAAACGCACCGTTGGCCAAGTCCGGTCTTTTGTGGTACACCTCCACCACAGCTCACATCACATCGGATCATACTCGACAAATCAGCCACGATGCCCGTCAATACTCAGATCAAATCTGCCTTCATCAATGTAATACCGCGCGAGGTCCGTGATTCCATATATCTCGAGCTCTGGCGCTCCTGTGGTCTCCGTCAACATATTCTATATCATGGAGAACCAGAGTACCATCACTTCTGCCATTGGCCGTGCTCTATCGAGTTCGATGTTCATGACCCATTGCAAAAAGAGCTTGAAGAGGTGAGAGTCCGCCTCGGCGTTCCCTTAGGCGAGGATATCTCTCGTCACAGTTGCCCTGGAATCGGGAGGCCTTATGCCAGATATTTGCAATCTCCATGGATGAACCACTGGCCTTGTGGCGAGGTTGCCTATCAGAAGCACGGCAAGGGGGCTTTGCCGGGCTTTGGTACTTCAGGGTTTATTTGTTGGAAAAAAGGCTGCAGTGGCTATGAAAACAACGCCTGGTCAAACCCATATCTTTCCATGCTCTTGTTGTGCAAGACCGTGTGAGTTGCCCCACCGATCAGAAGACCATTCAATACTAACGAACGTAGATCGGAAGAGTGCCTGCAGTCCATCTACAGGTCGACAACATTCATCTTCACCGATATGCCGACTGTGCAGATGTTTTTCGGGTATTGCGAGCTTCATCCAATCGTAAAAACCTTCCCAAAAATAGGCATCACACCACTAGCCTTTTTCAAGTACGCTCGAAACGTGGAGCTCTCGTTTGGTCCGGACTTTCCCCTGCAGCTACTGTGTGCCAATTTCGATCTTCCCGGAATTCCTCGCCGCCACGATGTCTACGATTTCCACTGGTTGCGCCTTGACCGATTCGAGAACCTCCAGACCTTCAACATATGGATCGCTTCACGTTGTAGCTCGAACCGTACTCCTTCAAAGTACGATGCTCTCTGTGGCATCAAGGAACTTGATACAAGAAATTTGAGAGATCGTCTTGCGCCATTCAGCTTGATTGGCTCACTCACGATAAGCACACCCCTTAGCTCACGCATAGCACCTGAAGAGGGTTTTGTGGAAGATGTCGCATTGCCTGGTATTCGGCTTTACAAACGAGGGTCCGGTGATAAATTCCATCCAATCTTGGGAACGGTCAACCCAGGAGGCATGTACGACGATGTGATTCACACCACATCTGAGATGTATGAGCACTTGATTTCTTTCTGACGTCTACTTTGGCTAACACTTTGCCTCAAATAGGGAAGTTCGGCTTGGTTATGACGGAACCAATTACGTTTTGATGAAGGACGGTTGAATGCGGCTACTGGCCGTATGTTTGGTCAGTCTACAATGTGTTTTCCGTTTCAGAAGTTGTGGGGAATTGCCTCCGTTTAGGACGTAGATAGTTGCTAGCTTTTCTCTTAAAGAGAGTCGAACTTTCGCATGAGACGTATTTTTCGGTCGAAGCCGTATGGTATATCTTCTTCTCGCCATCTCGGCCAGCTCTTGACACACACATACACATACGCGCACGCGCACGCGCGCATACTTACCCACACCATACTCAAGACAACCAAGCGTGAATACTCACGGCACTAGGGTCTCAGAGCTTTGGTTTATTACAAGCCAGCTCCCCAGCACCAAAAACCAGACGATGTTCAGATCCGAAGTACTCAATATTCGCGCACATTGGAACCTTCAGATGCGTGCGTTCCTTCTTGAACGGGAACACGTAACGGTTCATTTACACAGAGATTCACTTACGATTAGGATTTGATCATAGAAGACAACAGAGGACAGATCATAAAGTCTCTTGGAGGTAACCAATCCACTTCCTTTTGTAGTTTTTTCTCACTCAGCTGACATGAGCTGTTCCTACCTAGCTAAAGGCTATCAACAAAGATCGAGGTAGTCTGTATTTGCAACGCGTCGTCAGGATCTAACTGCCTCATACCAGCTGCCTCATACAAAGCCCCTCACGTTGACATAATCGAACTTTGAAATCAAGATCATCCCAAATTTATCTACTCTCATTTGTTGGGATAGAAATCGTACCGCAAGCAGCCAGCATCAATCTGGCCTCCAGTTCCGCCATTGTTGCCTGTAAGAATGGTCTGGTTAGCGTATAGGGTTATACTTTTGATTGAAACGGTGCAAAACATACATGATAGGTAGTTTTCCCTCATGATACTCGCACAGGTGATGCTCTTATCATCCGCAATGGGAAATTCAAGGCTCTGCTCACTAGCAGCCTTGCAACCGTCGATCCACGTGATCCTGAAGTTCCCTGGCTCGTAGCCGGGCAGGGGATGCCAGTAGACGTCTTCATCTCCTGCGCTCATCTTCTTGTCTTTGGCAAGTTCTTTGCAACCTAAGACAGACCAAAGTTCCTGAACGTTGTTATGCACGTCGCTGTGTTTGTACCAATCATGGCACTCTCGCTTGCCAAGTGAGGGCTTCTCTGCCATCTTTTGCACCTCCCACGTGAACTTGCCGCAGCCGACGTCAATAGACGCCTTTCTGGACATGCGGTCTCCTGCTGAGCCATGATTCGATCCACCTAATATGAGACTCTTAGTCAGTTGATCCTTGGTCACTAACTTTTGAAGTCTGAGAGTGCTCACAGTTGCTCTTGACAAGCTTATCCCATGCGCTTCTGCAGACGTCTTGGTCGTCTACCTGGCATTCGTCATCAAGAGGAATAAAGGACAGAAATATGGTGTAATCTTGGTAATTGTCGATATTTTCCGGTGGTGTTCTTCGCACAAAACCTCTTTTCGTCTGTTGCTGGGTTGCCAAGGCGGCCTTCAGGCGAGGGATCTCATTACCACTAATATCATACGGTGTAGGTCCTTGCGGTGCGCCTATATCATTCATTACCCTCTCGCAGAATGTCTTCGAAGTGCTGTCCAGAAAGAACTTGCTGGGAACATTAGTGAGCTCGCCAGGACATTCAATGCTGATCTCGGGCTGCGGAGGCTGCTGGGGCTCTTCTTTGATATTCTTTAACGCATCGAGGACAGCCTGGTCAAAGACGATGTCGGAAATGGTGACTTGGGTAACAATACTTGGGAAGCAACTGCATCCCTTTGTTTTGCCCTTTCATAAGTCAGTATGTCCATGCAATCCGCGGAAAGCTGTCCCGGGAGAGAGAAGAGTGTGCATGCTAAGGCGGACGATTTGACTCACCTCGGAACAAGCCCAATCAACTAATCCTGTAGCCTTAGGATCTTCGATCTTGGAACTGGTGGGCTTACAATCTCCGTCGCATGATGGCTGTGGTTGATCTATCAGTCAGAGATGAGCATCCAGAATGGGCTTGGATATCTTACCGGAGTTCCCGTAGGACAGCTGCTGCTTGAGGTTGAAGTGCTCCTGGTGGATGTTTTGGTCTTGGTGACCCTATGGATGCTCTCCTTTGGGATCTCATTCGCGTTGGGGATTGCCTTGCCGTTTTGAATGTGTCCCCAAACCCAGGCCAAAAACGAGCCGGCTGTGATAGTCGAGCTCCCCCAGACGGCTGCATTCGCCGCTGCTTCGCCGCCTGAAAGAGCTGCACCTAGAGCTTCAGCTTCTTCCTCAGATGAAAAGATGACCGTCTCTTCCACGGCAGACTCAGCTCCACCCTCGGCCTCGCCACCGTCAACCCAGCCGTCCTCGCTTCCTGGGCCACTTTCATATCCCGAGTCGTACTCCTCCGTCAAGACTTGATCTGTGAGAGGACGCGCAAAGCTGTTCCTGAGCTCTGTGTCGGCGGCTACACGTTGTACGTAATCGGCCAAGCCGCAAGCTGGGGCCCCCTGACGCTTGTAGACCACGTTTCGAGGCTGTCTCCTGTGCTTTGCAGCACAGGCGGTTACCTCCTTCGCTATCGCCTCTAGCTTAGCTTTAAGTCCGGGGCTCAGCAAGATGTTGAGACCGCCAGCGGCATTCTTCGATGCAGTGACAGCGTTCGTGACGGTCGCGACTGCTGTCCCTCCCGAACCAACAGACGTGACAGTTGTTATCGCAATGTACTGAGAGTTGTGTCCTATCCACTAGGCAAGTTGTGTGTCAACGAAAGAGTCACAAAAGAGAAAGACGGGCAACCTCACCTTTGTTGTACCTTGTTCCAACGTAAGATATCTCGTATGTGCCTCTATTTTACCTGGTCTATAGTTGATCCACAAGAACCGATTAGCTGCTGCATTTCATTTGAACATTCTGATGGGCGTACTTACGTAGGCTCAGCCCCAGGGGGGTTGACTCCAATTTGACCACTCTTAGTCGGCTCAATGGCGGCAACCACGACACTACCATGAAGCCATTAGCATCTGGACTTGTTGCCTCCGAATGGCCTCAGAAAGTGTATCATACCGGCCAGCCGCAGGATCCACTGTCTGTCGGGCAGTCAAGTGACCTTCGTTGGTGACGCTAGCCAAGGGTTGATCATGAAGCTGCGTAGCCGCCCCTGCATTTAACAGCAGACCGAAAACAACAAGAGTGTACGGCTTCATAATAGCTGTAACACGAAAATGGAATTGACAGCAATAGATTGAAAGTATTTTTGAATGGAGGTTCGCAAAAGCCTTTGTAGTCAACTTCTACGAGAAAGATGGGATGGTCAGGAAGCTTGTTACATGGCTCCTACGATGCCAGCCACCGGCCTAAATATACCTTATACACATAGGTAACATTTAGTTGTGGACAAGCTATCGCCAATGTCCCGCAAATCTTCTCAGCGGACTTCACTGGCGAAAACTTGCCGTCTGTCTTCCATTGCTCTGGGGGCTGTCATCTATTTTGGTCATCGTGTTGGAGTCTAGCCTCAGACCCCACGCCAACAGGGCAGCGTCAATGTTGATGCCAAGCTCAACATGTTGACCGAAGCAACCAACAGAGCCCTCGAAATCAGTCACAATTCCTTGAATAATGGCCCAGCCGCTCCAGAGTCGGGTGATTTTCAATCAAAGCCGCACCGGCGCAGCACGCCGGTAACTACTTTGGGGCCGATAGCCCCCATCACTGTCACTCCGGCCCACCTCCGGGTCGCAAGTCCGGGCCAACAGACCCCATAAGAGCCTTCAATCTCCAACAGACTGCAACGGAATCGATTCTCAGACCCCCATTACAATTTCCATTCAGGCGATCAGCCTCGTTAATTTTGATCATGCGTCGATCAGTCATTGGGGGCGTATGTTTGGAAGCTGTCAAGGTCAGTCTTGGACGCCCAAATCCAAGAAATTTCTGTAGCCAAGTAGGCTATTCTTAGTCAATGGTTCCATTTACTGCCTCCAGAATTCCTCCGGGTCTTGGGGTCGAGGCGGTGTTGCCTTTCTGTCAGTCTTGGTCCCAGGGCCGAGGACCAACTTGGTATCGCTCTACGGTCTATCTACAGTCCATGAATAGAATGGTTTCTCTTCTGTATAAATGGTGTCTTGCCAACTGGCTTGAGCTCATATTGAAGTAGAAGAACATGCTGAACTTGCTCATGCGGTCGAAGATTTCTCATACACCAACTATCACGATTCACGATTGAAGGTTGCTCCAACATTCATTTCATTGGGTCAACAGTCAGCATGCGCCCTCTTCAAATCCTCATTCTTGTCTTGCAAGGCTCGCTTGCCGCTGAAGCAGCTAGCTGGACGTTGCACGAATCTTGTTGTAAGTCGGTGATCCGATCTACTCGCCGAATGATTATGTCTCAGCGAGCTATTTGATCTGAATTTGCCTTGGATTTGGTGTGTAGTCAGGCAAAGACTGCCTACTAACGAGCACTTAGACAGAAAAGAAGTATTCGAGAACGGCAATCCATCAAAGAAGATCACTGTGGACGACAAGGAATTGGAGAATGCCATTCTCAAAGGCGTCGAGGACGCAAAGGCCTGGGCGGCAGCCGCCGCTTCCCACATTAAAGACTCACTGAGCAAAAACCCCTTGAAGGGTCGGGCTGTCAAAGCTGCTTTAGAACCCCTTGTTGGGAAGGATGACTATAACAAAGCCGCAGGCGACGTCAAGTGTAAGTTGCTTCCCAGACAGCATCATGTTTCTTCTTCGAGTTCCGTGACGCTACAGTCTACAGCGTAAGGCCTCAACCTGACTTTCGAAACACTTGTAGCGAAATTCGACAACATCGCCACCATGGAAGGCCCCGTCGGTAGGGAGGGTAACGAGAATGGGAGATATGAGAAGTCTTCAGCTTGGGCAGCTCTCAAAAAGTCGGACGACCACCGCTTCAACTTCGTGAGTTTCGTCTACATCTCATGTCAGCATCAAACAGAACCCGAGTCTTGAAACATTGAGACATACTTGTTCTTTTCACATGCAATTATCGTTTGAGACTAAGTCCGCTACCAGATCATCACCTGCCGACCAGACATCGATTGGGTCCCTGACCAAAACGAACTCAACCCCTTCCCAGTTCCATGGGACAATGTCCGACAAAATCAACTCACGAACCCCCACGACTTTGTCAATTTTCTCAAAGAGGAAGAAACGCTAGGAGATTGGGGTAAGATAGGCAACGATGGAGTCAAAGTCAAGGCCGTTACCGCGCGCGATCTGAATACGCCAACCGGCGAGCGTTTGAGAATCCCCGAATCGATCAATTTTCACCCCCTGTGGATCAAATTCCAGCGGAGCAGGGGATTTGTTGACTGGACGCAGGAAACGGTCAATAAAGCCACAGCGAAAACGGCCCCTGATGCGTTTCAGAAGCTAAGTGAGGAGAGGAAAAAGGATATTCGTCCAGTGGATGGCTTGCTTCAAGACTGCTTCACAACAAACGTTTTGCACGAGGTAGGCTCTATTACTAACAGATGTTGTTTATTCAGTCTCTTTTGCTTACCACACGTTTCAGTTCTTCCATCTGACGTCCTTTGGGGCTATGTTTGACGACATGGATCTAGCCTACGGATGGGCTAATAACGTCAAGGCCAAGAATCGCGAGAACCCCGACTTGTATTCTCTCATTGCCGCGGTCATCCATTTGCTCTACAAAGAAGGAACGAACTACAAGGTGACGGCAGAGGGCCATGTGAAAGTTAAGGCTCCCTGATTGTTGTTATGGATGTGTCAATCACACAACAGTGGAGTGATGTAGTCATATGGATGCCTGTCGTGAAGACTACCTTGCGCTGCTTAAGATGAGGGATAGCCTATTGTTCAACGTCTCGTTGATAATGGGCATTGAGAAGGATTCTTGCTATTCGGACGGATAACTATTATGTTGGGTCTAATAGTTTATTTCATACAATTTTGTTACCGTCGTCCCTGTTGTCTCTAGCATCATCTATGCCTACTACCCGCCCGGATAGCAAAACTCTTGAAAATTAGTCCCGAGATCTTTTTTGGATGAATTCAGAATAGAACAAACATATCCACATAGAAATAAACCTCCCTTTTCTCTGCAAAGAACTGTACGGTCCTGTCTGCTTGCTTTTCAATTCGGCGAAATAGCAAAGTCCGTAGACACATGTTGTGCCAATTGACGAGTCTTCTTTGTGGCGGATGAGTTACTTAATGATGTTATAGATATTGCAATATAGCACAAGTCAGAAGACGGCTACCATTCATAAGCATAGCGTTCCCTGCACGTAGCAGACCGCAACTGCCTAGAGTCCAGCCGCAGCCCGAAAGTCCGCCAAATACTCACCGACGGTATGTTCCACAACTTGACAGCCGTCGCAGGTCCTAAAATGGTAACTGCGGATGGAGCCGCTGTTGACCCGAGCATGCCGGAGCATCATCTCGTGTACGTAATGAGCGACAGAGTAAGTAACGGCCTGGCGAGAACCTTAATAGGCGAGATTTCCTTTGTCCAACACGGGGCGGGAAGGATAGGTCTTGCAACTCAACTAGGCCCATGCCTCTTTTGAGAATCCTCTCGGAAATGGTTGCCGACGGGATGGAAATGGCTCGCTGCTGTTCAACTTGCCACTTTCATCTGGACATGCCTTTTGTTCTGCATCATTCTTGAGTCAACTGTTGCTTCCCGTCGATACAATTAGGCTATTATCATAGAGTCTATTTATCCAGGGGAAACGGTTTCCAGTTGATGCAAAAGCTCAATGAATTGAGTCTTTGAGCAAGGATGACAACATCGCCTTCCCGTCCTCTACGCAACTCAACCCTTCGCTCTCGGTTTCGTACCAACTGAGCCCATTGGTCGGTAGCCGGCGGGATAGTTTTGCAACCGGTAGTTGGGCAGGGATGCCCTCAACTCCCACCAACTTGGGATCTGCCCCCCAGTTCATCTCATACCTGCTCCCCCCACGTTCATCCCAAGATACCCGCATCGGCGTCCCCAGCCCTACGCCCACGACTCAGGCAACATTCGGGTTTTTAAAGTTCGCGATGGACGCTTTTCAGATTGGTGAAACTCATGTCAGTTATATTGCTGCTGGTTCATACACTATGTGGGAGGCGGTAAAGGTGGAGCAAATGCGAGTATCCAAGCTGGCCGTAGTCCGGAGACGTGATGCGTATACGGAGCGGATTTAGGGGAAAGTGCCCTTCTATACAATCGGGTACGCGGACATTGAGTTTTCCTAGGCGGACTGCTCCGCCCAGCGCCTCCATAAGGGCAAGTAAATTAACAACATATTTAACCTAACTAAGCAAAGTGAGGCTATTACTACCACCTAATCAATTAATTTAATATCCCTTAATTAAATTAAAATATTTAATATCTTATATTATTTATAGATTAACTAATAAGAAGCTATAGATTAGCCCCTACCTTAGTTTTCTAAGTATAATTAGTTACTAAAATATAATACTATTAATAACTTATTAATCACTATATATAATAATAAAGATATTTAGATAGCCCTCATAATATTAATTAGTATCTAATTAATATAAAACTTTCTAAGGGAGTAGAAATTATTATAATAGCTTAAATAGTATAAATAATATTATAATTAGATATTATTTCTAAAAATTATTTATTACTTTAGCTTATATATATTATTCACACTCCTTATTATTTTTTTTATCTTTAGAGTTAAGATATTAACTATTACTACTACTTCCTTATTAACTAGTAATACTTATATATTATTAATTACTATATACTTCTATATCTTAATATAGATTATAACTACCCTACTTATTACTATCCCTCTAAATCCTATAATTAATAACTTACTAACTATTATTATTAGTAGTAAATAATATATACTTAAAGTATAGCTCTTATATAAGAGAGGGTAGGATTAATCTAATTAGATTTAAGATTATAATAACTTCCTTATTAAGATTATTTAGGGATATATAGTAAGGTCCTACTAAAGTTACTAATAATATAATATAAAAAGCTAGCTAAAGGTCTTTAGTATTACTACTATATCTACTTTATAAGAGCACTTACTATAGTATATTAATCTAAGCTTTCTATTTATAATAATTATACTTTAATAAAGCTAAAGTGCTTATACTATCTATAAAATCTCTCTTCACTTAAATAAAAACTCTAATAATATTCTAATATTATTATTAATAGCTATATCTATACTACTTTCCCTAAAGAGACTCTAACTTAGCTATATAAATATACCTAAAGCTAAAGTAACTACTCTATATAATCTCTATATAGCTTTAATTATTTCTACTAACCTCCTATTTACTTACTTTAAAAACTCCTACTTCTAGTAAATACTATAGTACTATAATATAGAGGTTACTAATAAAATACTATAAAGTTATTTATCTATTTAGGACTATCTTAATAATATCTATTACTATAGTAAAAAGCTAGTAATTAAAGAACTTCATATAGTAAAGTTAAAAATACACTTATTATTTAATCTATAGATATCCCTAAATATTTATGCTTTTATAGAGGTTACTAGTTACTTTATTAATACTAATAGTACTTTATAATCCTATCTTCTAGCCTTTTATTAATATTATAGTAATTATAATAGTATTACCCTTATAGTAACTTTTATTAATATTATTAACTACTACTATATTTAGGACTAAATTAGAGTAACTATCTCTAATAACGCTATAAATAATAATATCTATTTCTAGGATTTCTATAGAGAACTAAACCTAAAAATAATAGAGATAGATATCTAAGCCTAGTATATATAGTATTATAGCTATATCCTTAATCTCTTAACTTAAGCGTTCCTATTTAGCGCTAATAAGGAGACTCTATATACTAAATTATAGTTCTATAAGCTTAAAGGTTATAATAATAATCTAAAGTATTAATAGTAGCTTAGCCCTATTAGCTAGCTTTATAATATTATTAAGTTTATCTAGTTATCTCTATAATACTATAAATAATACTAAAAAGCTATAATAGAAGTTAATAAAGATTTTAACTTTTAGATCTTCTTAGAGTTATACTAAGAAGCTCTCTTTATCTTAAATAATAATATTTACTAAAATAGTATATATCTTATAATCTAAAAAGCTATAGAGAAAAAAATAGAGATTTAAACCTTTATACTTTTAAATAATAATAATAATAATATTAAGTAATATATCCTTAAAGAAGACCTTTTATCTTTAGAAAATTAGAAAGTTCTAGCTAAGATAGGTATAATCTTAAAGCTTTTTTATTAGTAGATAAAGAGATATAAAGGCTAAAGTATTAGTAATAATTATAGTTAACTTTAAGAAGTTATAATAAATATAAAATATCTTCTTTTATATCTTATTAACTAAAAAGATTACTATAACGCTATAATCTCTCTATTTATTAATAATAATACTAAAGATTAATTATAGTAGTTATAAAGATATTTAAGCTAGGGTTAATATAGCTAATTTTATATATAAATCCTCTTAACCTATATTTATAAAGATTAAATATTACTAGCCTTATAATTAGCTTTATAATTTAACTCTCTTAATAAGAAGTAGTAGTTTTTCTTCTATATTAATATTAAACTAATATAATAAAAGCTTTTTTTATATTATAATAAGATAAGAGATTTACTACTATTTTCTATAATATTAATCCTATATCTATTATTAAGTATTTTATATTTATAAGATATATAGTATTATAAATACTAAGAGGAATAAGTTAAAAAAGCTCTTAATAGCTTTAAAGACTTCTTTAATAAGTAGTATTATTAATCTAAGCTAGAAGTAGTAATACTAATATTAGATAAGTAGTTAGTAGTTATCCCTATTAATACTAAGACTAAGGATAATAATAATAGTTACTACTAGTAGTAAGTTAATAACTAGTATTACTATATACTACTCTAAGTTAATAAGCTTAATCTCTACTTCTAGAAGCCCCTTAAAGTTATTAGTAATCTTATTAAGTAATAGTAAGACTACTTAGAGATATATTTAGTACTCTATAAGCTAGTAATTAATATCTTTACTATCCTTATAATATCTACTAACTATAAGAAAGCTTTTAATTAAACTAAGTTAACCTTTATATTATAGAAGCTCTTAATAAAGCTTAATACTATAGAGAGTCTCTAGCTAATAAAAAACTAGCTAAAGAGGGGGGTTATACTACTTAGTAATAACTTTAAACTATTAAGAGTAGTATAAATAGCTTTAAATAGGTATAATATAGTTTTATATAGTAATTAATTTATTTTATTTATAAATTAGCTAAGTAATCAAAAACACCAAAAAAAAGAGCCAAGTTAATAAGTATAGGGGTCAAAATTGCTTTAATTGCCCTTGTGGAGGCGCTGGCTCCGCCTTGAAGTCTAGCTACTGGTCGATGGATACCACCGCCGCCGACCTGAGATTTGGCATACGGGGAGTTTGTGTTCCAAGAGATCTGCTGGTAGATAAGAAAGCTATAAGACTGTCCAGTCTCCTCCTATGTTGCTCTCACCCATCACCCCATCCACGCACCAAGTCTCGTCTCAGCTCAATAAACCTCACAACTACAAACCACCTTTGAACCAACCGCCAAAATGCAGTTCTCTACCCTCCTCACCGTCTTCGCTTCCGTTGCCGCCGTCAGCGCCATCGCCGCCCCCAAGCCTCTGACCCCGGCCCAGTGCGCTGCCAACAACCTGAAGCACTGCAACAACTCCAACGAGCCCTGCCCCATCGGCTGCTTCTGCCCGTGAGTAAATCCCTAGAGAGGTCAAGGCTAGAATTGGAAGACCATGGAAACTGACATGTTGATAGCGGCGGAAACCTGCCTGACGGAGGCTGCTGCGCCGGCAGCTGCTAAACGGCTACGCATCTCTGAGTGAGATGATGGGCGAGAGGATGACGCGGTGACCTGGAATCAGAGGCAGTTTAGTTGCAATACATACCATTCATCGTGACCAAAAGAACGCTCAACTCCTCTCAGCAGTAACAGTTGTGAAGGCAAAACATCATAATGTATTCATCCCTCATACCCAAAGCGCTTCTACAACCCCTTCATGAACTCCCCGAACGAGATAGGTTTCCTGACCGCATTATTCAATCCTTCATGGTACGTTACCCAAATCTTGATATCCTCCTTCGTCTCCTCTCTCTGCTTCTTCCTCTTGGTTCCGTTCGGATCCACTTCGCCCAGAGGCCGCGTCGGGATGATCCTCCCGAAGAAGTCCTTCTTAACGCTCTTCTCGAGGGCCTTCTCCTGCTCTTTAATGATGTTCTCCTTGTCCACCTGCACAGGAGCTTCCTCAAGTCCCATGGGGTTGCCCGCTTTGAAGCGCGCCTGTCGCGCGGCCGCCTCGCGGAGAATGACGGTCTTTTGGAGTTCTTGGTCGAGGCACTGGCGGACGGCGAAGCGTGTTGGGGCGGAGCTGGAGAGGAGAAGGCCTCCTGCTGTTTCGTATATCGCAAGTGCGTCAAGGTCACTGAGGATACGTTAGTGCGAACTCGTACATGAGGGGACGGATGATGACTTGCGGCTCCATGCGATACACCCACTGAGGCCCCCTGTTCACCAACGAATCTGTCTCAATCTTGCCCTTTTGCATTTCAATGCCAACCTCCGCCATAATCTCCGCGGCGCGTTTGACCATGGCCTTCTCGGTATCCTTTCGTACACTTGCTGTGCTCGTGCCGCTGCCGCCAATCACGACAGGCTTGACGTCTGGTGATACCATGCGAACAAGATACGGTAAGAAGTCTGTCGCGACATCTTCCGGGCTTCGGAACGACCTCCCCAACGTGGGAGTGAGCTGTGCCTGAATGGCCTGTAGCATAGACTTGTTCTCCTTCAATGCTTGGTGGGCAGCATAGTCCGCTTGAGGACCAGAAAATGGCACGGGTGGCTCGTCGTTCTCCTGCGCATCTGCACCCCACTTCTTGTCGTAGCCCATGTTGACTTGATACTTTTTCGACGAGGCAAAGAGAGAGTGGCAGGCAAGAATAGGCTGGCTTAGATATGGCGCCAGCTCCCAGTCCTGGCTGAAAAAGGTTCTTGACGAGCAAGTGTCCAGAAAGTGCATCCAATCGTAAGCTTCGTTGGGCTTGGACAAGAACGAGTCGTCGTTGAATTCGCGGTTGGGGTATTCGAGGAAGATGTCAGTCATAATACGATCGACTTCGCCGCTGGTGTCAACCATGTGTCGCAAACGTTCCATGGCGTTCTTCTTGTGGTACTCGGCAAAACCCAGCTGAGCCTTGGGCTGCTCATGCTTGTGCTTGAGATGCGATGTGCTGTCCAAAGCTTGCTTCGGGAAACCGCCACCTTCCTGAAAGATGCGTGACACGATGTCTTTCGTGCTTCCTCGTCCAAGACCCCTTGCTCCGCCAGCGCCGTTTGTTAAATCGTGCATAACGTTCTTCTCAAGCCATTGCCTTGTCAACTTGTCGTTGAAGCTCGCAGCAGCCTTGAAACGTCCAGCAACCCACTCACCAACAACCATAACACCACGAAGATCGCCTTCAGCTCCGCTCTCGGCTCCTCGCTTCGCATCAATGCCACTTGTCATACCCCAAGCGGCCTCGCAGATCTTGCGAGCAGCATCTTTCTCACAGGGAACGCCCTCCTTGTCGAAGACCGCCTTCAACCGCGTGACAACCGCATCGATGGTGGGTTTTCCAACATGAATAATTTCAGCCATACCTGACTGCCGGAGAGGTCTCAGTGCCGGAGCGTAGACGTCGTTGCAGATGAGAATAAGCGGTCTCATCAAACGAAAGTCGTCGCCCTTCTTCTTCTTGCGGTTGTTGTTCACAACTCCTGAGCCGTTCTTCTGGTCCAACAACACGAGATCGATGAGGGCTTTGACGAATCCTCCCTCTCCTGAAGCTCCAGCTCCGCCGACTACACCGTCTACCTCATCGACAACCACGCAAGCCGGTTTTGCAACTTTTTGCTGCTTCTCACCATCCTTGGTCTTGACGTTCTCGACCGTCTTGACACTTTCGGTTCCTAGAGAGGTCCGGATGCGGTTCTTGACGACGTCTTTGCTTCGGTCGTCACTGGCATTGATCTCCATCACATCGTATCCTGCTTGCCGCGCGCACACATGCGCCAGCGTTGTCTTTCCAAGACCAGGGGGGCCCGTCAACATGAGAATCTTTTTGTGTGGCTTTTCCTCCTCCTGCTGACCCTGCTTCGCGCCTGGCCGTCTCGAGATGGGCGCCTTCTTTGCGATACCAGGGAAGACGATAGGATCCCATCGCTTGAGCCAGCGCAGGACCATGCGGTTGGTGCCATCGTCACCGCAAAGATCGAGGAAGTTCTTGGCTCTGTACTTCTCGGTCCAGAGCAAAGTCTTCTTCTGATGCTTGCCGACCACTGGCTCCTCCACTGACCGAACAAGTACATCGTTCTCTTTCCTTTGCGGCTTGGGCTTTTCCGCGGCCTCTTTCTTGGCGTTGTCGATGAGCTCATTGATATCGATGCCATAGTATGCGCGCCTCGCTCTCCCTTCCTTCGTCTTAGATCTCGCAGCAACGATGTTCTCGTATGAAGTGTTGGCAGTCGGCTTCCGCTGCTTGATCGTTGTAGAGGCGCCGGTGCAAGTCGTTACTTTGAAGGTTCGCCCGCTCTTGAAAATCGACGGCGTAGAACTCAACAATGTAGATGCAAGGCTTCGAGGCGGTTCGGCGCGAGGAGGCTCTGTTTCCGTGGGAACGCTGTTGTTCTGTTTCGCGGGTGCCGGCGCTGATGGCTCGAGAATCTCTTCGTCAGGGGTGAGTGTAACAGGGGCTGGTCGTTGACTGCGCGATCCAAAGTCAAGGATCTGCTTCTTCAATGGTGGCTGCTGGGCGTCATTGTCGGAATCGGAATCATCGTCAAGCAGAAATCCGCTCTTGACTTTCGGCTTGGATTTTGTCGGGTCGGCCGCTGCTGGGCGCGCGCGCTTCCCTGCGGGTGGTGAGGAGCTGGCAGGAAATGTGATGGGTGATGAAGCACTCGGCATTTTGATTACTTGTTTGGTACGACGAGATCTGGTCCGAGGCTATCTTCGTGGCGACGTCCAAGGCTGCTTCGACTTGCAATCGCAGAAAGTGTGTCGCTGCAGTGACAAGCTAGGTGAAATGGGAGACGCGCGACTGGACGCGCTTCGTCCTGAACGCGTTGAGTGCGAGTGGGTCCGCCTGCACACTGTGCTAATTGAGTGAGATGAAATTAGCGCACTGTATCTTACAGACTGATGACGTGAAGGGATACTCAACACCAGCCTTGAGAGCAGTTGCGGTGAGCCCAATTGATGTTTTGGAGACGAAATTTGAGATTGAATTGTGTACTAATGCGTTGTAATGTTTCATATCAACTTACATCACAGAGGCGTAAATGCAGATCACAGTCCGCAAGTGAGAACTCCCATATGATCTCACAACCGGCCTCATGGCCCGTCAGTTTCACAGCCAACACAAAATGCCGTACACTTTCTCATATTCTCCATCCTACACTCTATCTAGACATACTTCAATTCTACCTCGCACCAGCAGCTCCCATCTCCTTCAACAAGCCCCGGTACAAGTCAGCCTCCGCAACCATCTCTTCCATGCTCCTCGCCTTCCTCATCGCATCCTCAATCCTCGCAAACTTGCCCCCGGGCTCGGGTCTCCTCCCAATCTCAGCGTCCCACAGCGCACCCCCGATGTTGCCCTCCTCGCTCGCCATCTGCTCGTAAATCTCATCCCTCGGCCCTGAGTCGTCCTTCGCCGTCTCGCCGGGTACGCGCGGAATGATGTGCACGTGAACATGTGACACCGTCTGGCCTGCGTCCGCGCCGTCCTGCACGGCTATGTTAAAGGAGCCTGCCTCCGGGGCAGCCGGCGTGCCTGGCGAGGAGGGAAAGTAGCGGCGCGCCAGCATTTTTTGCACGAGCTGCGTCGTGGTGAAGAGATCTGTTACCTCCGCTGGCGGGAGGTCTGTGAGGCGTTTGTGAGGCTTGAGAGGGCAGATCAGGACGTGGCCTGGGAGGAGGGGCTTGAGGTTGACGAGGGCGAAGGAGTGGGCTGTCTTGTAGAAGACCTGTGTCATGTTAGCCATTATTCTTGATGCTTCCGTGTTGAGTTCTGGATAGCGGGTTGAAGCAGGCAGGTGACGATGAGCGGCAGCTGTTTTGAACTCCAATGGCAAGATGCGCAATCCAGACGCTCCAATGCCCATCTCATACGGCCATTCAATGACCGAGATCTTCTTCGAGACTAACCTGCCCAGTGACCTCAAAGGGCCCGAAATGAATCTTTTCTTGGGAGCTCATTGTTCGTCGGGAAATAGTAATATGAGCTCTGGGTAAGTTGTAAAATGTTCTTGAGCTGAACATGGTCCTCTGTGAGTTAGGTGTGAGCTGCAGCTGGAACATGGGTAAGGAGAGACGACCCTCCGGAGATCGTCTGGTTTGGTGGAGTAACTTCAGCCAGGGAAATTGTTAGTGGCACGCTCGAAGTGTGGTGGCGTCATCAACATGGATTCAACCGCCCGGCAACAATTGAGTAGACATCTTTTATGGGACGGATTGCGACCAGAGTTGAACTTATTTTTATTCCTGCCCCCGCCAGTATTGCATTTTGACCCTAACAGATCCCGGTTGCTATAAAAGTACATGATTACAGTCTCCCGCCGTGGTTTAAGATGATACTTCCTATTGCGCCAGTACCTTTTCTTGAGCTCCAAACAGCTTCGTTTGTTGACCCGCAAAGAACTTCTTTGACTCAGCACAACGTTCGCTCTTGCACCCGGGGCAGCGAAGCTCCATCTGTGGTGAGCAGGAAATGCCGCTGTCAAGGTGAGCCTTGGCGATATCAGCCAGAGCCTTGATGAAGACAGGGCTGCCATTCAAACTCTCAACACGCTTCACAGTCTCGGGGCTTCCTGAATCTCCGATAACCTCCAGGTCGAGCTCGTACAGAGTCTCAATGTGGTCGGAGGTGAACGCAATAGGGATCAGGACCAGGTCCTTCTGGCCCTTGTGGATGTAGTTCTCGACCGAGTCAGAGGTCTGGGGGCCAAGCCATGCGGACGGGCCGACTTGAGACTGCCAGCACAGGCGGTAGGGGTTGGAGAACTTAAGGCGCTGCATGACAGCGTAGACGGTAGCAGCAACCTCGGCCGGATACGGGTCTCCTCTGTTGACCACAGACATGGGCAAGCTGTGTGCTGAGAACAGCAAGACGACGTCCTTCCGCCTCTCCTCGGGGTACTCCAGAAGCTTGGCCTCGATGTTTTGCGCGAACGCCTCTACCAGGCCCGGATGTACCGGCCACCTGTCAATAACGCTCCACGAGATCGTGCCATCGCCCGGCGTCGCGTCCGTGGCTGACTTGCCCTCCAACCTTTGGCGCCACTTCCACAGCTCATTCATGCTGCTTCCCGTCGTTGAACACGAGTATTGGGGGTATTGTGTGAAGGCTACGGCTCTTCCGCCCTTTCCGTTTCCGAAACCATCATCCAGCAGCTTGTTGTACATCTCCTCGGTCAGGGGATCGGCGTAACGGAACGCAACGTAAGGCTTGTGCGGTGCGGTCTCGGGTGAGATCTGGTCGAGGATCTTGCACATCTCTGCGCTCTGGTACTCGGACCATTTGCGGATGGGGGAACCACCACCGATTTCTGCGTACTGCTTCTGGATCTTGGGAGTTCGTCGCTTCGAGATGAAGGGGCCGAGGTAGTTCTGGTAGCGTCCGAGAGGAATCAAGTCTCCATCTGCCTGCGCATTGTCAGCGTGCGGAGCGTCTGGGGGTTCGTGGAGGGGCATACGAAGAGTCTGCTCAGGAAGTCGCCCACTTCGTCTGTCGTTGAAGGGCCACCCATGTTCAGGAATACCATGGCCGTCGGACCCTTGGAACCGGCGGAGTTTTGTGTAACGGGCGGAACGGTCGCCATAGACCTCAATTGAGGTGCTGATTGCTTTGGCAGAGCCAAAGCTAGAGGTGCGGCGCCATTGCGCGCTGAAGTCGTCGCCTTAGACAAGCTCCTGGAGAGCTGTCCTGTTGAGTACTTGAACGCCATTGCTCTACAACGACGATGTACGAAAAGATAGTGTACAAAGAGAGAACACAGAAAACGGTCGGTAAGTGGTGATGGTTCAGAGTGGTCTAAGAAAACATAGCTGTGGCAATCGTGGACCCTGGCGATGTGTGGGTGATGCTGAACGAGGCCATGTGGATTTCGGCTTCGATGACGAAGGAAATCCCGATCTGGACAGGAGCCCACCGAATGCCGAGCAGCACCCCTGCAAGACCGAGCTCATACAGCGGTACTTTTCAGAAGGCCATGCCACCGCTACTTTCCAGGTACCCAGTTAACCTGTCTCGGTTCTGGCCAATAGCACGCTGCGTAATCCGAAATATAGATCACGTGGTCGCGCGCTCGCACGCGGGTACCTGCGAGCTTCGCTAGAGAGGTCCGCGCCAGAACAGCTGCCCCTGTCGCGTCTGCTGCCTGGAGCTGCCTGTTGCGCTGAAGGGCCCAACCGAGTTCGCGACTACATGAAATAGCTGTCGCCCGCCGCGACCAACAACGCCAAAACTAACATCGACTCACACAGGTTCTTGCAATGGCTGATCGCGAAGACTACAAGAGAGAGGAGGATGACGATGCGGAGGAGGAGCTCGATGAGACTGTACGAACGAACCCACATCTGAGCGCCATGACTTACAGCTGACCCCTCCCAGGACTACAAGGCGCAAAAGGACGCCGTCCTTCTGGCCATTGATGTGAGCTCGTCAATGCTGCAGCCGCCTCCAGCATCGACCTCTAAAAAGGCAGACAAGGACAGCGCCGTCCAGGCCGCGCTGAAATGCGCCTACCAGCTCATGCAGCAGCGTATCATCTCCAACCCCAAGGACATGATGGGCATCCTCTTCTTCGGTACTGAAAAGTCGAAATTCCAAGAGGAAAGCGGTCGCACTGGCCTGGGCTATCCCCACTGCTACCTCTTCACTGACCTAGACGTCCCCGCAGCGGAGGACGTCAAGGCGCTGAAGACATTAGTGGGGGTCGACGGGGAGGAGGGAGAAGACGAAGATGAGGTGTTGGTGCCAGCCAAGGAGAGTGTCCAGATGGCGAATGTCTTCTTCTGCGCAAACCAGATTTTCACAACTAAGGCTGCGAATTTCGGAAGCAGGAGGTTGTTCATCATCACAGACAACGACAGTCCTCACGGCGATGACAAGGCGGCCAAGTCCGCTTCTGCCGTGCGCGCAAAGGATCTGTACGACCTCGGTGTTATCATCGAGTTGTTCCCTATCACCAGGGACGACAAGAAGTTCGACCTCACCAGGTTCTACGATGTAAGCAGTTCGCACTCTCCTTGGTGTTCCCGCCTAACAGTGACAGGATATCATCTATCGTGACCAAACAGCAGAGGCAAATCTTTCAGAGATCCGCAATTCGAGATCAGGAGACGGCATCACCCTACTCAACTCCCTAATCTCAAATATCAAATCCAAGGAGACCCCCAAGCGCTCCCTCTTCTCCAACCTCCCCTTCGAGATCGCCCCAGGGCTGCGCATCTCCGTCAAGGGCTACAACATTCTCCACCGCCAAACACCCGCCAGGACATCTTACATCTGGCTTGACGGCGAAAAGCCCCAGCTCGCCACAGGCGAAACAACTCGAATTGCAGAGGATAGTGCCCGCACAGTCGAGAAGCCCGAGTTCAAAAAGGCCTACAAATTTGGCGGCGAGTACGTCCACTTCACCACCGAGGAGCAAAAGTCCCTCAAGGACTTTGGTACCCCCATCATCCGCATCATCGGCTTCAAGCCGCGGTCCATGCTCCCATTTTGGGCCAGTGTCAAGAAGTCAACTTTCATCTTCCCTTCCGAGGAGGATTACGTCGGCTCGACCCGCGTCTTCACTGCCCTCTGGCAGAAGCTGCTCAAGTCCAAAAAGATTGGAATTGCATGGGCTATCACTCGCTCCAACGCGAACCCGATTCTCGTTGCCATCATTCCCTCCCACGAGCAATCCGAAGACGACTCCACCACGCCCTACCTACCCGCAGGCCTCTGGCTTACACCTCTCCCCTTTGCCGATGACCTCCGCGAGGGCCCTGAGCCGCCCGCCGACCTCGTCCGCAGCACCAACGAGCTCACCGACCAAATGCGCGTCATCGTTCAACAGCTGCAGCTGCCCAAAGCCATGTACAACCCCAAGAAGTACCCGAATCCTTCGCTCCAGTGGCATTACAAGATCCTCCAGGTCCTCGCGCTCGAGGAGGAGTACCCCGAGAAAGCGGAAGATCTGACGGAGCCCAAGTACAAGGCCATCAGTAAGCGTGCCGGCGGATACCTCGAAGAGTGGGCTGAGACGCTGCAGGCGGAAGCCAAGAATGTGATGGCTAAGCAGGCTATCAAGCGAGATGCGGAAGACGATGACGATGGCAGGCCGGCAAAGAGGGCGAAATCGGCGCCGAAGGCCAAGGTCTCTGGATCGGGAATGACTACGGCGCAGCTCAAGGCCGCTGCTGATTCAGACACTCTGGGCAAAATGCTCGTTGCAGACCTGAAGGATGTCCTTGCTGCGAGAGGCTTGAGCACGGCCGGAAAGAAGGCAGAACTTGTCGAGAGGCTTGAGGAGTGGATCGAGAGCAATGCTTGATGTGTCGAACGGATGAAATGGGCTGTACTATATCAAATGGCGTTGTCTGGCGCGTCTCGTGTTTGAAAAGGGGCTACTAAGACTCAGTATACTTAGCCTAGCTATGGAATCTTTCATTTCTTAATTTGCACTTTACGATGTCCTTCCCACATTGCATGTTTACAAGTGTGGGTACAAGCCATGCGAATGCCCACCATCTTGCCATCGGGTACCATCCGACCCAGATATCGACCCGTCCTACCTATGATAGCTCCTCAATCTGTTCTCTATGCTCTTCTTCTCTTCCGGACAATGCCGGAAATGTCAACTGGGCCCAGATTCAGGCTCATTCGACTATGGGAGAGGCAGGTCAGAACGTGAGTTGGTCGGCGTTCCTTCGATTCGTTTGTTATCCTCGGTGCTGAATCACTCTTCATATTCCCTCCTAGAATCTTCACCAGCTTCATGCCAATCTGGCAGCATTTGCGACCTCTTTGCGGGGTCTTCAGGCTGTGGGAGACAGATGGCGGCTGCCTTTCCGAGCTCTTGCCTGGGCAGGAGGCGCCCCTTGGGCCCTTCCCCAGCAACCTATATAAGCCCCTTCCCTGCCACACCTTCAAACAATTCAGCAGGCCTTGCCGGGCTGGGCACAAGCTGCCCTACCTAGCTTACAAAACCTAAAAAAAGAGGCTATGGTCTAGCTGGTCAGCGAGTGAGGTACCTAACGTTTAAGAAGAACGGGGACCAGTGCTCGTTCGCCTTGGGGCGCTCAGTTCGAGTCTGATTTGGTCGAAAGGCCCAGTGAAAAGTGAATTGAGGATATTACTTTTTTGCGTTTTGCTATCGCTTTCGTCGAAGTTTGACTCATCTTCTGTTCAACTGGACTTGCGTTTTAGTTGTTTCCCTTCGTTCTTTGCTTTCCTTTCTTGCGCTGTCTTATAGAGGGGAAGTTAGGGAAGAGTTTAAGGCGGTATAGATGCGCTTATTACTATCGGTGCTAAGTTAGTCTCTGTTAGGTAGTAGGGATTATAGTTATGGTCTCATGACGATCGGGCTGGTCGAGGTGTCGATCCCAGAGCAGAGTCTGCGTGATCGCGAAGCCGCCAGATGAAGCAGGCATGCAGTGGCTTCCAATTCTACATATTTTAACTAATCAGTCACTTGTCATCTAAAGTAATAAAAAGCAGCTGCAATATAGTCAGCCGGTCAGTAAGGAGGCAGGCCAGGACAGGCACCCCTTGCTCGCGTCAAGCGCTCAGTTCGAATCTGGAGATCGACAGACCCAGCGAAATTGAGGACAACCTTCTTTTTTCTGGGTGGGCTCTGCAGTGTTCTGTTCTTTGCCTCTGGCTTTCTTGCTTTTGGGAAAGGTTTTCTAATTGTCAGCCGTCTAATGGCCGGGGTTTCATCGTGGAAATGACATTTCTTCATGTATGCTTCGACCGAAAGAACACGGCGAGATGTCGACCTGTTTTCTATCCGGATCGATCGACTCCTGACAGTACGTCTTGTCTTGATGTGCGTGGACTCGGTGGGAGATGAACGGGAGTAAGCAATACCTGACGGCCACTCTACCTTCGCTCCCCTCAGTCGTGTTTGAGAGAAGCGAAATAGGGTTAGGTGACGGGAAGGAGCATTGGGTTCAATCAGGGCTTTCTAGCTGAAAGGCACTCCGTTCGAATCTGGAAGTCGATGGGCCCAGCGTTCTTGAGAACGAACGTTTTGCTTCTCATAATTGAGGACAGAGGCCACCCCCTTAGTCAAGAATCAAAAAAAAAGCCAATAACGCGTCTTTGATGGCGATCTCTCGCCATCGTCATCACTCAGGTCTATGTGAACATGCGCAGAGATGGGTGTTTCAGAAGAGCCACCATAAAGCTGGAGTTATTTTGCGGTTTCTTGACAGACATGTACTGCAATATCAAACCTACGTTGGTAATTCTAACACCGCTCAATCGCGATATCAATATGTATAAACTCAGTATCTACTCAGATCAAATGATACCATCCGTCTATTTCTGCTAGAAGGAAATACGCCGATCGTTTGCTACGGCTCCTAGAGAGTTTTCACTCAAGGGGTGTGTGAGTATTTAGTGTGTTTTGCCTCATCTAATATATGAGCAACTCCTCTGATGCTTATATTAATCTGTCGCCTGCCTTTACTACCGTCCTTCATCTCAATATTATTCAGTTGATGTACATTTTGGGTGTTTGTCGAAGCCGACACCAGGCTCCAAAGTCTCTTTCCATTCGAACCGCACCAAACATGGACGTCCTGACACATACTAGGAACTGTGGCACGTTATTTCTTCCGAAAACTCTCGTCATCCCAGGTCTTCCTCAAGTATCCTGTGAGGATCATGCAAGAAACGACAGTCTAGACCTAGTGTAAAATGTGGCAATGTGTATGTTCTGTATGTATCATATCAGCAATCGTTCTCACCTATGGCATAACTTTGAAGCTTAAGTTTGAAGTAAAACCTATGGGTTGACGGATTTGAGTACATTTGGCGGCGTTGGTGGATGAACGCTTAATTCGCCATTCTGAGACCTTTCATATCTACCTTTGGTATGGATCTTTATCTCTAACACCTGACGACCTTGTGAATCAAGATTCTCACGTCGAGGACTGAAATCTTCGCCTGTCGCACGGCTATGATTGTGATCGCGTAGTAATGCTTAAAGGAGTAACCTAAATGTGCCTATTTGCAATACACATAAATTGCCTTTTTAAAACACGATCCGTAGAAGTAAATGTGTAAGGCTTCTCTCTGGTTGAGTCATTACCTTATTTATTTCCACACACGCCTCGGCATCAGCACTGCTACCACTAGAAGAACCCGCACAATTCATCAGAGGATCGTCTGCGTAAGTGCTCATTATTTTTATCCATCACTTCGTAGGTATTGGTGTGAATATTGCGAGAAGGGTATGTGCTTAACAATGGCGATGTGGTGATGAGAGGTCCTTTCCGTGCTCAGAGCAGGCTTATGTCGTCTCCTTCTCAGCGCTTCTCAAGATGGGATGCGTCTCTGGAGTATCATTTTCTCCTGAATAGAGATCTGGGCTGACCGCACTTCTTTTAGAACGCCGACTGTCGGTGATTCTTTTATTTCTTTTGCCCCATCAGTGTCTAGTTCCACTACCTTAGCAAAACCTAGGGACCCCATGTATAAATTTGAAATGAGCACAAGGATTTCTAAATGTAGGAGACAGCAATCGTCGTTGAACATTCCCGTCAGGCTCCAGATCAGACCGCGCTTAAACTTGCAGACCTTCATGTCTCTGAATTACCTATCGTACCTTAAGACTCACACCTCGGGTGAATCACACTCCACCCCATCCGTCCACTCTCCTGTCCGTTGCGTATGATTCCCAATAACTTCGCAGTACATATTTCGTAGGGTCCGTGATACGTTATAATAATCACGAAAATTGTAACTATTCGGTTCTTACTGGAGCAGCGCTGCTTATCTTTACGTGAGACTGATGGAGACAACTTCAAATTGTGACAACATGGGACACTATTGTCAATCAAAACCCGGCTTCAACCGTCTTCGTTCGCATTTAAGTACGCTGGAGATCCCGCCACCTAATTCACTCATCTTAGAACGAGGTATTAAAGAGCTGCCTGCTCATCTTGGCTTTTCTATTCCCGCAAGATCGCAAGGGTTCTTCGCGCTTTGTCACATACCTATTGCCTGCTTCATCTAATGAGACAAAGTGAAGAGATCCTAATGGCGGCTGTAGATGCAAATCTGTCTATCAGATGAAACCCTTGTTTTCTTTCCATCACTTTCTTCTGTAACATATTCAATCGGATACTATGCTCTGTGCTGCCAATGTTGCAGTATGTCTGTCTCAAACGGACGAAGCAAAGGGAGAAATTCTCAGGAACCTGCGATGATAGTGGGAGTGATCAGTTCTGATGCAGACATTGGCGCTTAAGACTCCCTAACAAACTTGGCGATAGAATGTGTAATTATAAGGTACCTAGTTCATGCTGGTCAACACAGGCAACACCAAAGTAAGAAAGAACAGCAGACAGGCTTGATGAATCATCTCATACCACCGCAAATACATATTTGAAGCCGCCTTAAGAGATGGCTTGGTCTTGACCTCACAAAGTTGTTGGTGGCGCTCAAGATATCGCCCAACAGCAATCCATGGGCTTGTGGTTTTGGCATCTGCGCGCAATCCAGCTGATGGTCATTCACACGCACACCTACCATTTGCAAGTAACTTCAACCCAGAGCCATTCTCAGTATTCCCCTCGCTCACCATCACCTCCCCTCCTGACTTATTGCGCGCAAATCAGCGCTAAATGCCATATCACATTTAGACAGCCATAAAGCCCTGATTTAGACGCAGCCAAATACTTGAATTTTTGTCGTACTTTGTAAAATTGCACATCTAACAATATGCCGCAATTATGTCATTTTTTGGTGATGGATAGCATAAAGCTAGCGGCAGGTCCTTAAATACAAATAATGAAACAGCGTCATCTTAATCCCTTCTCAAAGACACCTCTGCCCTCCAAGGTATAAAAGATAGTCTAAATAGCGCCCAAATAAACTACATAAAGAATCTGCTCTGCTGTGGTCATAGCCATTAAATGAGGTGTCTGCTATATATTAGAAGCCAATGCAGTTCACGCTCAGCAGCTGCATATAATTAAAGCAGAAGAAGGCGCATACTTTCATAAAAGCCAAGGGACCTTGCCGCAGTCATCATCACTCGTCGCGCCTGTCGCGTGGGTATGAGGATGAATACCAACGCATGCAACAAGCTAAAATTTTCTGAGCCTTCCGGATGGAGACCCTCTCATTATAAACATTAACTGCCTGGCTTTTAGTGTATTCATTCCACTTCCCAGACACTTCATCTCAGAGGGTGCTTTATGCTTTGTGATTGCTTGCTTCTGTCAAAGTACGACTCGCCTGGTGGGTGAGGAACATATCTTATATAGGTTCTTAGAAAGTGTAGAACGAGGACGACGTCTAAATAGGCTCTAGGGTGTGTAAAGATAGGCATGGTAGTCAAAAGATTTCGTCGTCATTCAAATTGAGAGGCTCCAGCTCAGGAGATTTGGTGTGCTTTCATGATAGCGAAGAACTCATGACGAAGCTTCAACTAAATGACAGTCAGTCATAGCCATCTCCCGGAGAGGACGAGACAGAAACCAGCAACGTCACCACAAAGACAAGCATTCTCCCACGACAGGCACATCTCATCATACCATCACACAAAATAACCAAAGGACGTCAAAAGAATCACAAAAGGGTGTCCAAGCCAAATCCCCTCCCATACCAGGGGTCCAACCTGGCTAAGGTGGTGAGACCGTGGCCTGTCCTCCCACGCGCCGTCATCCCACTCTATCCCACCCATCCGAACCCCCAACTCCCCCGCCCCCAACCCAATCCCACAAGTAAGCATCCCTCCACCAGCCTGCCCGACTAACACACACCGGGCATGCGGGATGTCAACCATCGGACAGGCTACTATTCCTCCTGAACACCCATCGGCCATCCCCGAAGCTACCCGAGTCCGGTCGCAGAGGCACGACATCTGCGCGCGCGAGATATGCCACCTACCTTTGACTCCAAAGATGGTGTGCTCCCGAGAAATCCTCGTACAACAACTGGGGAGATCTGCGGGGAAGGACGAGGACATTAGAGGCT